CTCTCATCGATGTTTCTAACTCTCTATCCCTCTCCCTTCCTCTCTGTAAAAATCAATAAAATATATTTTTAAAAAAAAGGTTGCTTATCAATGTGCGATGATGCTATCTATATATATAAAAGCCTAATATTTTAAGTGTCCGACCATTCGACTGTTCTACCAGTCACTATGACATGCACTGACCACCGGGGGCAGACACTCCGATAGGTAGGTTAGCTTGCTGCTGGGGTCCAGTTGATCAGAACCGGGCAAGATGGGCTGGACACGCCCTGGAGCCCTCCCGTGGTCCCTCTCCAGCCTCTAAAATATTTCTTCTAACTAATTTCCTTTCAATGTGCATGAATCCGTGTGCCAGGCCTCTAGTTTCCCAATAAAAACACTATATTTTTGTATGTGAAGGAAAAGTTTGGAAGAAGTAGTGTACTCAGGTTCATTTCCTGTATTTTTTTTTTTTTGCCTTTTTAATGTTTAAAATTTTTATTGATTTCAGAGAGGAAGGGAGAGGGAGAGACAGAAACATCAATGATGAGAGAGAATCATGGATTAGCTGCCTTCTGCATGCTCCACAGTGGGGATCGAGCCCACAACCTGGGCAGGTGCCCTGGACCAGAATCAAACCGGGGACCCTTCAGTCTGCAGGCTGATGCTCTATCTACTGTGTAAAACCGGCTAGGGCCTGTTTGTTGTTTTTTTTAAATCCTCACCTAAGGATATATGTTTTTGACTTTTAGAGAGAGAGGAAGGGGGAGGGGGAGAGAGAAAGAGAGAGAGAGAGAGAAACATTGGTTGCCTCTTGTACCAGCCCAGTTTGATCTGGGGATCAAACCACAACCAGGATTTGAACCCACAACTTTTTGGTGTAGGGGACAATACTCCTATCAACTGAGTTACCTGGCCAGGACATTTCCTATTTTTATTTTTATTTTTGTTTGTTTGTTTTTTAAATGCTGTACTATATGATTGATCCTTGGCCTGTGGTTTTGCTGGATGTTAACATAGGGGAATCAAGTCTGGAAGGACAATCATAATAGTAGCATATATTTGCATACTACCTAGGGTCTCTTCTTGGTGCATTACAAACACTAATCCAGACCTGGCCGGTGTGGCTCGGTGGATAGAGCATTGGCCCTGGCACTGAAGGGTGGTAGGTTCAATTCCCGGTCAAGGACAGTACTTGGGTTGCAGGTTTGATACCCAGCCCAGTCAGGGGCAGGTGTGGGAGGCAACCAATCGATGTGCCCCTCTCACATCAATGTTTCTCTCCCCTCCCTCTGCTCACTCCCTTCCACTCTCTCTAAAAATCAATGGAAAAAAATATCCTAAGGATATTTTGTCAGGATAACAAAAAAAACCAACAAATACTAATCCACATCTGAGCTCTCCGGCAAGGTTCTTTACCTTATCACCACTGACATCTGAGGTTGGATCGCTCCGTGTTGTGGGGGCTGTCGTGCACATCCTATGACTTTGAGCAGCATCCTGGCCTAGACCCACTAAATGCCAGGACCACCCCTCCCACACACACCAACTGTGAAAACCCAAAATGTCTCTAGACGTCGCCAACTTCCTCTGCAGGGCAAATGCCTCCCCCCACCAGGCTGAGAATCACTGTTCTAAAGAAGAGGAGAGGCGCTCTATGACCCCCTGTTTGCAGAAGGGGGAAAGTGAGGCATGCAGCACGTCACCTGCCCCGCACGGAGCAGCAGAGTGGGCGGAACGCAGGGTTTTGGTCTGTGAAGCACGTAGCCACACACCAGAGGGCCTTGCAACACGTCACGCTCACGCTCCGTTCAGGAACAGTCTTTGGCGTGGGCTTGCATGGGGGTTGCACCCCTGCCACAAAGCCGGGGGCCCTGCCCCCCCTTCCCGGCTGTAGAACCCGCCAGAGGCTGGAGGAAGCCCAAAGCTTTCTACTGGATACACTCTTCCATCATTTATACTTTTTTTTACCAGCAGGTATTAAATTATTTTTTTTAAAGGAGCTTGGTGTGGTCACTTTAGCATTTCCGCAATTAATAAGCCCAAATTCCTACGAAGAGCAGAAACGGCCATAAAGAGATCAACTTGAATATCCAGATACCTGGGGTCCGCAGCTTCTTCCGCTTACTCATGTTATCCCTCCCTGAGAAACCTGAAAATGAGCAGAATCCCATCGTTACAAGCAGTCACTGCCCCCGATGCAGACCCAGGGCCGTCGGCTGAGGGGAGAAGCCACCCCATCCCCCATCTTGGCCCGCGGGCCGCCCTGAGGGGTCAGTTGGGCCCCAGAGGATGCAGGTGGGAGTCGCAGCGGCCCCTGGCCAGGCCTGGCTGGAGGAGCTCAAACCTCCTCCGGCTGCGGAGGGCACAGAGGGAGCTGCCCGGCTGCCCAGGGTCGGGGCACGCCTGGAGGGACCGGAAGGGGGCGACCTC